ATATTCCGCAGATAAGAGCCGACGACTGTCCGATCACAAGCCCGCTCAACAGGAAGCTGGAGTGCTGTGCTGCAATACTGTGATTGGCCAGATAGTACATGTACATGTGTAGTTATTGCCATGGCAGCCAAATCCACATGAACAATACTGGCGGTCAGAGCAATCAACCCCAGAAACCAACAGCAAGACCTCTTTAAATAGGCTCACATCAATACACACACACACACACACACACACACACACACACACACACACACACACACACAACCAGATGGATGGCAGCCAGGTGTGTGCCCTTCACAGCTGCTCGGATAAAGAGTGAAGCCGAGGAAAGAGAGGAAAGCTAAAGCATAAGGTGTTTTTTTTTTTCTTTCCGGGAGGCTGAGGAGTTATTAGGATGCAGTGGTGCGTTCAGGTGGAGGCTCTTTTCAACATCCTCTGACTGAGCCCCTATTCTCCAGACGGCCATCCTATCTGCCCACCTTTTTTCTTTCTCTCTGCTTTTCTTCCTCTTTCAAAATGGCAGTACACCTGTCTGTACAACTTGCCAACTGGGCTTTGTCCCTGAATGGACCATTAGTAAATTCACACCGCTGGAATTCATTTAATCGCTCCGCGTTTCAACAACTCCGCGTATTGCAGAAATCACTGGCTCTTGTCGGGAAGTGACCCTTTGCTTTCCCCTCACACAGATGAATGAAGCAGATACGGGACAGAAAACTATTTGTTATGAAGTGAAGGGGTAAACATAATGCATCAACGAAGTTTAACTTCCCGTTCTTCTCTGGAATGTGGAAAGACATTTTGTCAGAATTTATATCTGTATAATCTAGAGGCTTTAACAGCAGCTATACTGGAGCAACCTTAACTCAACTCATGAGTTGTCATCAGTTGGTTTCCAATGCAGGCCCCCTAGCAACGCAGCACAAACGTACTATTTCCACTCTGAAAAGAACACTCATAGATGAATAGCTTTGTGTGTCACTGGCAGGGTCAAACTTTCTCTTTAATGAAGATGTTTCATCAAAATAAAACAAATAAATACTGGCTATGAGTTCTGTCCCTGGAGAGGCTTTTAGCCCAGCAGTTGAAGATAGTAATACATTGGATGAAAAAATTACTTTGGATGGTCTGTCTCTGTCTGTGTGTGAGTATGTGTGTGTATGTATGTGTGTGTGTGTGTGTGTGTGTGTGTGTGTGTGTGTGTGTGTGTGTGTGTGTGTGTGTGTGTGTTCGTGCGCGCGTGCTCTCGTCCAAAATGATGACAGACTAACCACCCACTCAGAGCTGTGTTCCGGGAATAGCGGGCCGAGGCAGAGAATGAGAGAGCAGTGTAACATTTTCATCAGACAGGAACAAGCTCCGCTAGCCAAGAATGAGTTTGTCAGGCTGCTTGACAGGCCTTGTTGCTCCGATTCAGCTCAGGCAGAGCTGGATTCAACAACTTCTGTATGGGAGAAAAAAGAAAGTCAAGTCATTGTTCCAAGCTCAGCCCCGTGTATGCACCTGGGACAGAGAGTGCAGAAGTACTGACAGCAGATGAACTGATGTAAAAACGCTGAAAAGGTTGCATGCTTAAATCAACTTCAACAAGACTAGGTCGAAACCTTGGATAGTGTCGGCTGGTTTCACCCTCTCTCCTACTCTCTGTGCTCACATATACAGTGTTTTAATACAGTCAAATTTCCAGTAAAGCTCTTGTCATTGACATGTTCTTCTGTTTCTGTTGTCGCGCAACGAAACAAGTAGGAAAAAGAGACTGAAATGTGGCCCATTAAGACTACATGTTAACCAGCAGCCATTTCTTCCAAGCTGCTGCTCTACGGCTGTAACGCAATCTGCGTAGAGAGGTGCGTCTATGGAGGGAAAGCCCGACCTTGCACTCGCGGGGCAACACTGGCGACTCTCTTCCATGGAAAGTAGCTAACGTTGGTCCAGAAATGTACAAGATTTTTTCTCTAGGTGCTTTTTTGAAGAAAAAAAAGTCACCAAATGTGTCTGAAAAGTTGGATAACGACACAGGCGCTAAGTTGAGCTAGACCAACTCTGACACTCAGCCGACCGACCACTGGTGTAACCTTATCACTCAGTCAGTCAGTCAGTCAGTCAATCAGTCAGCCACATTTTTATAAGGCTGGCCCTGATGTTGTGGTCAAGCTAAAAGGTACCAGGGAAAAAAAAAGTTTTAACATACATACAGTATGTATTGATAACTGTAACACTGTATGTTTCTTTAACATGTTTTCTCAAATCAAATTTGTTTTTCTGATACGGTCACTGGCAGGAAACCGTTCACTAACATGGACTGACAAATCCAGATGGACAACATTTTCTCCAGAGAAGGTACTCTCACTAACGATGGCTAAATGTCTAACACCTCCACCACTACTGTCTGCTGAAGCCACGAACAGACCACACCTGACCCAGGTGGGTTTGCATACATACACA